GTTTTTATTGGATTGATTTGTTTTTCTATGCCAAGTAGATACTTTTACGCTCCTTTGCTATAATATCCTATGTGAAAAATACGCCACTACTCAATTATATGGTTATACTCCTTCGTGGGCCCTTTCGTGGGATTATCGAAAAGATCGGATCAAGCGTGAAGTACTGAAGTATAAAGCGGACATCGTATGCCTTCAGGTGAATTAATATAATGTATCGCTGTTTATTCATTGTGGCGGTTTATACTGAAAATTTTCTTGTGCGGAAATAAGAGCCCCTATATAAATCTATAATATCTACTAAATTTTTATTTATAACAGTATCTAATCCTAATATAACTCTAAAGGTCTAAAAAAATTCTAAAATATTTCATATTACTAAAATGGGCCAAAATTTCGGAATAGATCGATTTCAGCATAAACCGCCACATTTCATTTATTTTGTTTCTTTCTTTGTTTATATCTTATTTAATTCTTATAGGAGGTTGATACTTCACAATATGAAGAATACTTCAAGGATGTATATAGTAGGTATGGAGATTATGACAGCGTATATTGGCCAAAATCGCGTGCAAAGACAATGACAGATGTGGAAAGGAAATCGGTTGATGGATGCGCAACATTTTTTAAGTCTTCAAAGTATTTTATTATTTCAAAACTTTGTGTTTTTTTTTTTTTTTTTTTTGCCATTAGCAAATTTAAAATTTGCTAATCGAATTATCATTACAGATATAAATTAATCGATAAACAATTGATCGAGTTCAATCAAGTTGCGTTGCAACGACCCGATATAAAAAAAACAGAAGACATGTTCAATCGTGTTATTACCAAAGACAATATTGCAGTTGTAACATTGCTTGAAAATAAGGATAATTTTTCACGTCTTATTATTGTAAACTGCCATATTCATTGGGATCCTTCATATGCAGATGTTAAACTTGTTCAAGTAGCAATGTTAATGGATGAATTAGACAAGCTTGCCCAAAAATGGTGTGATATACCTAGCAAATCAATTTATAATTATACTTCCCCACAAAAGATATCAACTATTATTTGTGGGGATTTCAATTCTACTCCTGATTCTGGAGTGTACGAATTTCTTTCGCGTGGCAACATAAAACAAGATCATTGCGATTTTGGCGATCATATTTATGGCTCTTATGTATCGGAGGGTTTGACGCATAGGCTTTCACTAAAATCTGCATATTCCAATATTGAGGAATT